GTGGGTGTTTTTGGTTTTTGTCTGGGTGCTTTGTTTGTTTGTTTGTTTTCTTGCTACAGGGCTTGTGCACTCAGGGAAAAGAAAGATCACCCCCAAGGGCAGGTCACATCACAGTCACCCCTCTGTCTCTCCTTTCAAGATGTTGGGGTGTGCACGCGCATGTGCCCAGCCTATTTCTCAGGACAGTGAGCTGGGGACGGAAACCACGTGCTCAGCCTTGGGGGATCCAGCTGCCTTGGCCACCCGGCCATAGACCCAGCCTACGAGCTTCTTTTCTAGAAGGTCTAAGGGCCACTCATGCTTGGCCAGAGTTGCATCACTGCCGAGTGAAGTGGGAAATTAGGTCACTTTCCAGATAATGAAACCTTCGGCTTCCCTTCATCTGGATCCGGTTAAGGGAAGCGTGCCCATGGTGGACCGTGTACATCCCAGCTTTCTTCAGTTGGGTTTGCCCAAAGTGATCGGAGCTTTAACTTGCCGGCTCGGGATCCCTCGAGGTGTGTGTCGCTCCTGTGCGGCTGTGTGGCCACCCGGAGGCTTTCCCTTGCAGGCCCCTAAGCTGCTCACTCAGCGACTCCTCACCGTGCCTGTTCACACCCACCCCCGCCGCTACTCCAGTCCCGTCTGTGCATGTCACCTCCTGCTGCCGACCCCTGCTGTACTTCCGGCCGCCTGTTTGCACGCCGCTCTTCTCCCCCTTGTTTGCTGCTTCCAGTCGGCTGGGCTGTCGGCAGCTCCCCTGTGGCCGCGCTTGACAGATCTATCTTCCCGAGAAGCTGATGAGGGCCAGGCGTGCTCCCTGACGGGGCGCGTGAGCGGAGTGCCAGGGCAGACCTGTGAGGCCTGGACTCGATCGCTCCGAGACTTTTATTTAGCTAACTCCTTGGGGCTCAGTGTGCTCTTAGGACCCGAACCGACCAGACGAGTAGCCTGTCGCCATTCGCCTCCTGGTTTCTCACAGCACGGTACAGGTGAACTCCCCTGTCGGTCGCTCTGAAAGCACGGCACGCGTGTTTGGAAACCTTCGCAGGAGGAAACCGACGAGACTCCGAACCTGGTCGAGCTATGTCGGCGTGGTTCTCAGCTCCGTCTCACTGGAGAGAGGTTCTTCCCTGGGAATCAGAAACCCGTATTCTGGGGCTCTGTGCCACAGTGTGCCGTGTGACCCTAAGTTAGTCCCCTGACCCCGCTCCGCCTCCTGCTCCCACGGGAGTGGACGCCTGCCTCGTGGCCTGCGGACGCTGCAGTGGTGACAGAGATGTCGCACGAGCGGCATGATTAGGTGCTCCGTCGGAGGAGGTGCTGGATGAAGGAGGAAACCCGCCCTCTCAGCCGCGTTAGGGGCACAGACATCGCAGCCCACCAGCCCGTGCTTCAAAGGCAGAAGTTAGCAGCAGCCTCGGGTGAAGCGTGGCCCTCTCTGAAGGGGACGCCGGCACCAGCGGCAGACTCCCAGGCCCCCTTCGGAGGGGAGGCCACGGCGTCTTTCCCCTTCTGAGGGAAAGGTCTGGTGTGGGCCACCAGCTCCTCTGGTATGGGAAGCCAGGGCAAGTCGAGAAGCAGGGGCCCTCGGTGGCCTCTCTCTCTCTCTTATTCCTTTGAAAGGGACCCCCATGACCCTGACAACGGAGGGTAGAAGAGATGATCGCAAAGGTGACAGCTTGGCCAACTCGGGCAAAGCCTGGCAGTAAACAATGGTCTCTAGGAGCCCTGTCTTAACACCCGAGTCTGCTGCCCACGCCCTCGTCCCACTGTCAGATTCTCACGTCATCTTCTCGACGTTTTAATGACAGTGCACGTTCACGCTCGAGAGAGAGCGAGAGAGAAGGAAAGCGCCCTTCAGAGGATCCTGTCACCCCTGATCCCCGTCCCCCAGAGCACTGCAGGACCTGGGTACCGGGGCCTGGACCCAGCGTGTTTTCATTTCTGATCTGGGATCCGCCATGTGGCTTCCAGCACCGCCTCCCGTCCACCCAGACTGCTCCTAGGCTGGGCCCCTCGTAGTGTTTCCTTAGTGTGGTCAGAACCCTTGGCAATGCAGGTTTGAAATGCAGTTTCTTTACGTAAGCCCCACTACGGGCTCTGCGGGTGGGCCCTAGAGTCTGCATTATCATGAGCTCATGGGTTTGGAGACGCCCTCTTCCCAGGGTCGAGCAGAGCTGCCTCCCTCGGCGTCTCCTCTGCCCCCTTCCAGGGACTTGCTAACACCGGCTCCGAAGCAGCCCTCAGTGGGGACGACCGTACCACAGCCCCTTCTCCGTTCTCCTCTCAGACATGGGCGCCACACACACACCCCTCAGCATGCTTTTCAAGCTGCTGGCTCTGGGATCCAAACCCAGGAGTCAGCCATGTGGGACCCAGCACCTTAACCACCACACGACCTGCCTGTCTCCTTCCAGGATTTTAAACCCATGCACACTTGTGCCCAGTGTTTTTTAAGCCCCTGGGTCTGGGACTCGAACCATGCAATCACTCATGTGAGATCCAGCTGCCAAAGCCACCATGTCCTCAGGGTTTCAGAAGTTTAAACTTGTCTGATTCATTATTTTTAGTTTCTTGTATAAGATTAAGCAATCTAAATGTAAACGGCCCATTGTTTGTGATATGTCCTACCACGGGTCAGAGTTCTATGTCTCCCATGTCGTCAACTGCAGTTCGAGTCCCCGACCCAGCGGCTTAAACCTCACACCAGGCATGTGTGTATGTGTGCATGCCCAAAATCCCAAGAGAGAATGGAGGAGAAGGGATTGCACCATGGCCATCTCCCCTGGAGGGTGATTTCTTGCTTTCTGTCTCTCTTTCTGCTTCTTTGGCAACTGCACACACCCTGTAAAATTTCTATTTTTTTAAACATGATTGCTGCCTAATCATAGTTGTTACTATTTTCATTTAAAATTTTTTGGCTCTGTTTTTAGTCTGTTAAGCCAAGCACACCCAGTGACAGAGAGAGCTAGCCTGAGGGCATGCAGCCCACCTCTGAGTCAGTCACCAGCCTCTGGTGGAGGCCTAGTGAGGCAGGCTGGGCTGTTCTCAGGAACCATCACTGCGAAGGAGAAGGCGCAGAGGACGGTGGTCAGGGTGTTCCTTCCCTGGACGTCAGCGTGTGTTCAATATTTACAGCCCGAGGAACACAGCTGTCAGCCACGTCGAAGGATTTGCTTTGAAATGGTGTGTCCCAGACAGGGAACCAACATTGGGACCTCCAGCCGAGAGTCCAGGTGTGCAGAAGAACACAGAAGGGGCCGGCAGGTGGCGTGGTGGTTAAGGTGCTGCGCTCCCACATGGCCGACTGCAGTTCAAGTCCCAGACCCAACGGCTTGAAAATCACACCAGGCACGTGTGCACGCAGGCCCAAAAATCCCAAAAGGAGAATAGAGGAGACTGGATTGTGGCATGGCCATCCCCACTGGGACAGGGGGATTTCTCACTCTCCCTCTCACTGCCTCTCTCTGTTTCTCTTCAGCAAATAGATGCACCCCATGGCAAAAATCATAAAACACACACACACACACACACACACACACACACACACACACACAGAAAATGTGCTGTAAAACTGAGAGCAGTTCACACTATCTGTATTAGCAAACGGTCTGAAACAGCTCGATGCCCATCAGGAGGCCTGGCTCAATCAGTGCTGGTGGCACCTCCGCCCGGATAGGGAGCCGTCCCCACTGCGTTCCGGGAGGGTAGAGTGCGATGGACGGGTGGGCTCTTCGTGCAAGCGGAGGAGTATGACTGTGTGCATCCGCCTGCTTGAACCTGCAAGAAACCACAGTGGAGAGAGAAATAAAGACCGAGGGACCAAGGCGGAGGGAGGCAGGAAAGACTCACGATCGGGGAGATGCGCCTTCCTCGGCCTAGCTTCGGAATCATGCGGAGTTTGAGACGGTCAGGAAACAAACGACACCCGAAAGGCACCCTCCCCACACACAGGCAAGGTAGGGCTAAGGAAACAAGTGAGCCTAATTGTGCTTGTCATCGTCACAGCCACACAGAAAAGGATCATTCCGATTCCAACCTTAGAACGCGGCATTTTTACTGTACCTTCTCAGTGAGATACACTGGAAGGACCACAGGGAAAAAAAGCTCAGAGAGTTTCAGTGATAATTCAGAGTCTTAACTATTATTAGTTATGTTGGTGTGGTTAGGAACTAAGATTTTCTGTAGAAGAAAAACAGCCTACAGTTTTTTAAATTATGTAAAAATTCCGTACATTAAAATTTGCATTAGGCGTTTTAGTAGGACCTTATTATCCCCTTTAGGAAAAATATATGCATTAAAAATCTGCCCACTAAAAAGGCCTTGCGGACAGTAAGAGTAAGCACCCAGATTGTGCGGAAAGGCTCTCTCTGCCTCCCTCTCTCTCCAGAGTTTTCTTCTTCCACGTGTGTGTGTGTGTGTGTGTGTGTGTGAGTGAGAGAGAGAGAGAGAGGACTCCTGACTGGGTTTCAATGCTGTGGCCCCACTCCAGCCTCAGCCCCCACAGCCCAGGGACCCAATATCCCCGCGAGGTCCGACCAGAGCCCCGGGCCGCTCTCTGGTCCCTTCTTCCTCTATCCATAAAGTTTCCGTGGAGACTTTCTTGCTGCCCCATGTGGGGTTTGACCTCAGGCATCTACTGTGCTAGGAAACTCAGGACTTTGCATCCTTCCGTCCTGGCTGCCAGCGTTCTCTTCACAGTAGACCTGAAACCTGCCTCCGAGGCTGCCGCTGGTTCTAATCCCAGCTCTTCGTCCTGTTCCCTCTGCGGCCTCCACCTCAGGGCTGGCCGAGCTCCTGGTTTCTAAAATAAAAACGGGAATGACCATGAACACTGTTGGCCCCTAGAACCGTGAGGAGCCACGTCCGACATCTCGGTGTCTGTCCTGTGACTGCGCTCTCAGACCCTCAAGTGGGCGCAGTTAGGAAATCCCGCCATGTCGGCATCGTGGTAGCTGTACCTAGAACAAGAGCCGGCAGCCGGGACGGCATAACGGACACGCCTCTCTCTTTCTCAGCCATGGAGTTCCACGAGCACTTGCACAGCATCGGTACCAAGGAGGGGCTGAAGGAGCGGAAGCTGCAGAAAGCGGTGGAGAGCTTCACCTGGAACATCACCATCCTGAAGGTATGGGGTGCTGAGCCGTTGCCAGGCCTCCTTCAGGGCAGCGTTCCCTGCACTCCGGGTCAGGCCCTGAGGCTGTCTGCAGTGCAGCGGCCTGGCACGGTGGGCTGGAGGGAGGGTGGGACTCCTTGAACGTTTTAGTATTTGCGAGTGCCAGTTGCTACAGTGCGGTACAAAGTATTGGTAATGGCGGGAAGATCAGGGCTGGCAATTAAAGCCCCTCCATTTTCTCAGCACCTTCAAGTAGGGTCACGGCCTCGATGCTCTCGGGACCCCAGGGAGGAGATGGGAAAGAGGCCTTCGGGGCTGGCTCTGAGGTCTGGTGCAGGCAGTGGGCCTGACAGACATCGCAGTGGGTGTCCCGGGCCGCGTGCCTGAGGAGCACGGGTGTGCGTGCACCCATCGTCTCAGAGGGAGGCAGGGGTGGAGAGGAGGGGTGTGGCGTGACCGTAATAGATGGAGCAGTGCTGTCTCCCTCTCCCTCCCTCTCCCTCTCCCTCTCTCTCTCTCTCTGTCTCTCTCTGGCAAGTGCATGTACTCTTAAAAAGAAAGAAAAGGAAAACACTTGTGCAGAGTGGTCGAAGAAGACGCCCAGGATTGCCATTTGAAAGAATTCTTCAAAGGAGAAGCCATCCACCGCTCAACATGAGCGTTTCCCAAAACTAACTTCTATTGTTTTTTGTTATAAAAGTAATACATTTTCATGGCTGAAAATGTCGAAAGCGCGATATGCAAAGGCAGGCTTCACCCTGCCCTCCAGAGACAGTTCCTGGTGGGTTTCACTGGGGGCTCTCCCAGGCCTTTACGTTCTGTGATCTATAAAGTATGACGTGATTTTTAAAGAAGTCTGCGGGTGAGGTCACAGAGGCACACACATAGTGTCACCACTTGGGAGCCTGGAAGGTCCGTGGTGGCCTGGGCGCAGCTCCTGGGCCCACCTGAACACCCTGGCCCTGTGGCGTGCACCTATAACCTTCGCTGATGGTGAGGCGGGGCAGGAGGGTCGCAGCATGGCGAGACCCTGTCAGAAATGCCTGTCTCTGTCTCTCTCCCTCGTGAAGGAAAAAAATTGTTGTGTATAAAGCTTGAAATGTTTTGAGTTTTATCTTCAGGGTGCTTACTTTTCTTCCCAGCGTTTGGGAACATAAATAAGAGTAACACAGAGAAGCTATTTCATTTGAAATCTTGGACGACAAAATCTAAAATTGCCCTGTGGTATTCACCCTCAAAGCTTTATTATGCTCAGTCGAATTCAAGTGCAAAGATCAGACTGCAAAGGTATTATTACAACGGCCTCTGTTCATTTCCTCATCCCTCAAGTTAAAAGATGCAGCCGGACACTGACAGCAGTATTCTGGTTTGACTGAATCAAGGTCCCCTTCCAAAGCTGGCCAACTTGCATTTTCTCATCCTCAACCCCTACTCGTTTTTATAATTAACATCGTTTCCTGGACTTCTTCAAACACTTCTTCCTGCGCACGTACTTCCCACACACGTCCGCATGGATTTCTAGATCTTCTACTTAAAA